CTGGGGTGGATTATAGACTGCATATATCTTGAAGTGGTCTCGACATTTCCAAACATTTAATCTGATTATTTTGCATATGTCTTGCGTCGAGCCCATACACTTGATTAGATCGTAATTTGAGGTGAGACATTCTTTTATTCCAATCAGAATAACACTTGCAACTTGCCGTTATTTAGGTGCATTGCACAGGGTTTAACTGGGTAATTGGGAGTAATTCAGTTTGTCATCCGAAATGTTTCCTTCCATAATTTTGAAAATGTCTACATCATAGGTTTTTTGGATTATCTGGACTTGGATCTTTTTGTCCTGTGACAGCCCTCCAGCGTTCCACTGGAGGATCTGTAGACTTTGTGTGACGGAGGCGATTTCCCTTATAGCCTTGTTTCAAGCTTATTTTAATAAAAAGAAGACAAAATGTCGAATGTTAGACTTTTTGCCGTATATAGATACATTGTCCAGGGTGCATCACGTGGAGGTAAATTTATGGCGCACCCCACTTTTAATCATTGAAATTCGAAATAAAAATCCGATTGGACTGTAAAATCGCAACCGTTAACAAAAACATACTGAAGTATACGTTTAATGCCTATACACTTGATCAAACTCTAGACATATATTATTCTTCCCGGTTATAATTTTCTACATAACCACACATTAAAACATTGATTTTGAAACTTGCTTCCCTATAATTAATGTGATTGGTGAGAATTTATTTATTTAAATGAAATGGCAGGCGTATTGATAGTTATCATTAACCCTTAAGTTGACTTCAGGCTTAACAGATTGGAAGGAATATCAAAGTAAAAATAAGTCGAGATGAGGTAGGGGGGGGGGTAGAAGATTGATTGGAAGATGTTAAAGGTAGGAAAAGGTGAGCTGAGTACGATTGAAGTGGTCGAATATGGCATATAGTGGGGTGATGGTAGTTTAAAGTCAGATCACTGTTGGTTAACGGATTTTTGCCGAATGAGTATACGTTTTCCATAGCGAACCACATAGAGGTAAGTCTATTGCACATCCCTTGATTGAAGAGAACATTTCTTAGTAATAGCTGCTATTTTTGCAGAACCCAAAGCCTTAACTCTACCGTTTTCAGATACACACAACTATTTCACTGAACTGACGGGATTAACAAAAATTGTTGGTAAACTCTAATCTGGATGGAGATTCAACAAAAACATTGTTTTATACCATATCAGATTTTATGCAAAACATAGGGTTTGTATGTGAGTAGATTGCTTTACTTTTTTCATTTTAAGAACAAGAAGTCCTCATTCCTGGAACAATTGCTTTACTCACTAGCCAATAAAAAGAGACTTTAAATGGATTCGCAGTATCTCTGATGTTAAAGGCACTAAGAACGCAGGTTTGAGTTTCGTTAGGATTATTTACGGGCCAAACGGGTAGCGCTTTTCGGGAATTATTTGCCTCAAACTAATTAATGTTGTAACAGAGGC